TTTGATCCCCCCTAATTCTGAGCTTATTTGGGTACAACAACCAGCAACCCAAACCACAGGTGGAGTTTCTGAGAGGCAAAGCTCTCCCTCAGGGCAGCAGATGAGTGGCCAGGGAGCAGCATGAGGAGAAGACTGGCAGGAGCCCTGGGAGATGCCTTCAGCACAACATTTGTGTTTCCATGCTGAGTCCTACTGCTCCTTACCTTTCTCTGATTTTGGGTTGAATCCACACGGTGAGATTTGGAAGGAGGGGAAGCTCAGTGTTGTAACAAAATCCCAAAATGGCACAGACAAAGGACACTGCTGAATTGATTCATGATGTCTCAATCTGTGCTTAAGAAAAAGGTGAAGCAAGTCTTGTGTATCCAAGCAACTGTAAAGCCTTCACTGTTGCCATAGGAGGTTTTATCAGTGATGCAATCATTGAAATTCTCCTTTTCTTCTAATTGAGGGTAGTAGTAGGTAGAAGAAGGAGGTTTCTAAACAGACCCTATTGCTGCAGAGACAGCAAGGAACAGTCTGGAGCAGTGACACACACGGACACAAACCAAGGTCTGATCAAAATAAAAATGGTAGAAGTCAGTCATGTCCAAAATATAAATATTAGAAACTCCTGAGGCTTTGCTTGTGGAATGATTTGTCTTTTCACAATCAGGCTACAAGTAAAACAAATGCAGTATTTGACCTGAAAAGAGAATTCACCTTCTCTCACCCAATTAATTTAATACAGCAGGAATATTTGTTATGTCTTAGCAAGCAGACTTACAAAAGAAAATCCTCAAACATGTGTGCTTAATTAATGATTTTCTTCTTCGGTGCACACACAAAAGGGGTGCATTGTGGGTACCATCTGATGCTGAATACTGCCTTAATATATTGTTCAATATATGTATGAATATGGCACTTACATGTGGCATATGGCTCCTGACAGGCAGGGCTATCTTTTAGCATTACAGATATATGGATGAGTTGGAGGAGACTGCTTTTGGGGTTTAAAGATGGCCAAGGAAAAAGAACAAATTCCTTGCATAATATTTGATCACAGAATAGATTTTAAATAAAAATCTGAAATTGCACTGCTTTCTCACTTCAAGAGTAAAATGTTTTGTATGTTTCAAAGAGCAGATGCCCAACAAACATCTTTGTACAGGAAAAGGAAATATTTCCTTAAACATCCTGCAGCAAATGTGACTGATTGAGCTTCCTTTTTCCCCTGCCTGGTGCATTTCCCTTCTTTGCACAGACAGGATCTAACCAGATTTGCAGGGTATGAACTGCAGGTTACTTTCAAATTCATAACTATGAAATGGTTCGTTTAGCAGGACAAAGGCCAAGCTGACAGACACCCTCTTTCCAGCTCAGCATGTGCATAGCAATGGGAGGGTGGCAAGGAGCTTTTGTTAATCTCAACCGAGCTGGCAAGTATGCTGTAAAATGAAGGCTTTGAAGATGTTTTTTCTTCATTTTTAAAGTAACAGTTTGTTAGAACAAAGCTTGAAAATCTTGAAAGAAAAAAAAATCTACAAAATATTGAATGTCCTCCCTGGCAGTCATAGGACTTAAGCAAATTTCTCCACTAGCAATTAGTCTGTATAAATTACTTAACAAGTTTTTATTAGTTTTGGGTTGTGGTTTTTTTGGGGTTTTTTTTAGGTTCTGTTCTGCTGCATCTGTGAAAATGTTTTTCCCCAGCTTGAATGCACTTTTGGAAAAAAAGAAATGGTTGGCAGAAACAATTAGGGTATCAGGTCAGGTTGGGGGTGATCCAAGCAGCAGGATTTTTTTTCCTTTTAGTTTAAATGTGTAAAAATTGAAAGCTTTAAAAGCTTCATGCTTAGAGCTGTTCCCAAAATAGCTGGGACTCACACTCCACTTCCTAATGTGCTCACATCACAAGACCAGCTGCTGCTACTTGCTCTCTTTTGTCTGAGGCTTCAGTGGAGAGCTGAGGTGCTGCCTGCTCTGCTCTGCTCTGCAAGGGAGCAGCCCTTCCTTCATCCACAGGGGTGACCCAGCTCTCCTCCCCAGAGCCAGCCCAGGTGATTTCCCTCTGGGCACCAATATCACATCCCACCTTCCTGAGCCCAAACAATCCAGTGGCTTTCACAAAACACAGTGACTCTGTTCAGGGATTGGTTTACATGGTTTTATTTTTATGCGAAATCATAAATACAAAATAAAAATAGTAAACAAGTGCTATAGATTTATCTTTTCATTGGGATGAGGTTCAGACCTGATCCTGAGCACTTCCAAGGTTTTAAATTCAGGACTAGATCTTTGTTCTTAGAAAAAAAATCATAGCAGAAACCAGCTTAGACTTTTACCCTGAAGCCAGTGACATCAGTAACAGCATTCTGTCAGGTTATCTTTTAAAGCACAGCAACAACTAAGGACACTGAAGGATGAGATTAAATATAAAAATATTTTTTTAAATGGGCTCCACTTCCTGCAAGTATTGTTGGGTGCTGCCCCACTGATCTCGGGCACAAGTTACAGTTTTGGTGGGATGATGCTGTGTTTAGTAGCACATGCACAGTTAGCACTGGCTTCTTCCAAGAGATCTTTCTGTCTAAGTTTTTCAGATTTTGGTTATAAGAGGATCCAGCCCTGCCTCGATTCAAGAAATTTGGCTTATTAAAATTCCCTTCTAAGGCATTGGTTTCCCCTCCTCTCCCAAAGACACCAGTTTTGATTTGAAATGCTACTGATGGATTGTCCAGGAACATTTCATCTTTTGGTCAGACCCCAAACTCTGCAGCACTTCTGAAGGCTCTACTGTTCAGAGACAATGCAGACATTTTTGTCAGTGGGTTTTACTTCTTCAACTTGAGACAAAAGAGAGCAAGGTCCAGGATTTGGGCTGATATCTGTGGGCTCATTTGCTAGACACCAGAGAGCTGAGTGAGGGTGAGTGACAAATACAGCAGGATGTTACACTTTGAAACAAAGTAGTCATGAAATAAAGGCACCAAACCATATAACAAGCCAACTTTGGTAGATTTCTTGCAAAATATATGCCTTTAAATACATTTACAGTTTACAAGGTTACACTGTTTTCAAAAAGTTGCAATGATGAAATATAGAATGTTTCACTCTTGTACCAAAACTACATATCACATCATAAAAACAATATTACAGCTTTTATGTAAATGGAGACGGTATTAGAACTGCACCTCTTTATAGAGCAGAAGTAGTTGTAGACATATTGCTCTGCTTTTGTATTCTCTGATGAGCTCAAACCCCGCTATTTATGTGTTTAAAAAACAAAAGCAGTTATCTTCAAAAAGGTGCTCAATATTCAACATCAAAATTTGCAGGGGCAAGGCTTTAACCTCTCATTCCAGTTTATGAATTGCTGATACCTCCAGGGTTTTAAGTTTGCTAAGCAAGGCAGGAACAGGGTCAATGTAAATCTGTCAGACTCACAGTTATGGTTTGTCAATAAGTTTGGTGTTACCAGAAAGCTGTAAGAGTTAATGCTCAGGTCAGGTGTGCACTGTATTGCTACATGATTGTGAGGACCCGTGAGGTTGTAGGGTTGATCTCTGAAGAGTATAAACAGCACATTTCCTCCCTAACTCTTGGCAGAAATCTCCTTATGGCAATGTAGATGCTGCCACAGTCAGTAGCATAATCCTGTGTGGATTTACAAATAATTAGATTGAAGGAATATCACACCATCCCGTTAAGCCCCTCCCTTAACAAAGTTTGTCTCTGCAGTGTAAAATGAAAAAGTGTAAGCTAATATCTCAGACTGTGGTGAAATTCAGGAGGTGTTGACCTCACAGAGTTATGTTGCCCAAACCATCTTCCTTCCAGTCTGCAGCGTGTTACTAGGGCAATGCAGAGGAGCTGAGAGCTGTGAGAGTCATGACTTCACAGTTGATCACCTGGTGTAAAGTCTCAGTCAAGATATTTTTGGTAAAATTCTTCTAGCAATTTTTTGCTTCATTTGGTAAATGAAGGAAAGCACGTGTTAAAACCATGGTGGGGAGCCAACCAAGCTCACGTCCAACTGAACACACATTTCAAAACTGGCAGCAAGCAGAGCTTGGCAAGAAGACCACAAAGACATCATTCCCCCCAGCCATCAGTATCTGGGGTGATTTTTATGTTTCCAATCTCCTGTAGTGCAGATGAGAGGAGCAGAGACCCTGCTGGAGCCAGGACATACAGTGATCTCCTAGATTTCTTAATCTAGTCCTTGAATAATTCTGGCAATGAGTTCATATTCAAGTAAAAACAGAGCATAAGCTGAAGAAGAGATGAAGAACCTCAGAGGACAACCTACAATCTGATTTGTACTCCACTAAAGGACAGCAACTACCTGAAATCTCTTTCAAGGTTTCAAATACACACAGACCAATACACTTCACTGAGGAACTGAAACAACTGAAGAAAGTCAAATAACTCTCTCCAAAGAGTTACTGCCTGTGGGATTAAGGACCGAGGTTAGTGTCATGCTTTGGACAGGATCCCTATTTTAATTGCCCGAATAGGTCAAACCCCCCCTTATCAGTCCGAGCGGGAACTGCCAGATGCAGCCTTTGGGGAGAGATGCCGAAGATGCGAAGCTGCTCCTCGGCTCTGGTGCGCACCCGATGCCCGGTCCCGGCGGCCAAGCTGTGCCCCGAGGCACCGGCAGCCACAACGGGGGCAGAGTACTCACAAGTGTCACGGTAACACCGGGGAACGGCCGAGGCCTGCGGCGGGAGCCGGCGGGCAGGCGGCGGCGGCGAAGCCCGGACGGGGCGTCCCGGTAAACGCCGCCGTGACTCGCCGGGGCTCCTCGGTTCCCGACGCTGGTTCGCGGAGGGCTTTGCTCGGCCGGCAGCGCGGTCCGTCAGTACCGGGAGCCGGCGGCGCCGAGCGGAGCGGCCGGACCCGCCGGGGAGCCGGGCTGGAGGGCAGCGGGGCGCTGCCCTGCCTAGGGCCGCCGCTTCACGGGGGTCCCCGCTAAGAAAAGCCTCCAGGCAGGGGAGCGCTGGAGCTCCCCGCAGACGCTCCCGGGCCGCAGCCGTCTGTCCGTGCCCCGCGGGGCCTCGGAGCGGGCCAGCCCCGCTCAGACGTAATTCTTCTTGTCGTACTCGCCGTTGGACGTGGGCCGCCGCGGCGCCGAGTACTTGACGGGGAAGGAGGTCTCGTCGCGCTGGGAGCAGGAGCAGCAGCAGATGAGGCAGCCCCCGAAGAGCAGCAGGGCCGTGGCCGCCCAGCCGATGTAGAGCGCGGCCCCCATCTCCCGCTTCTTGGACGACGGCACGCTGGGGTCGTAGAAGTCGCTGATGACGATGTTGGCGAACCAGCAGAGCGGGATGAGGACCAGGACCCCGCAGAGGATGTAGATGGCCCCGCCGGCGATCACGATGCGGGACTTCATCTTGCCGGGCCGTATGCAGTTGGTGCACTGCGCGCCCACCACGGTCACCAGCAGCGCCACCAGCCCCAGCAGCGCCACGATGACGGTGAGCGCCCGGCCCGCCTGCACCTCGGCCGGCAGCGCCAGGATGGAGTCGTACACCTTGCACTGCATCTGCCCCGTGCTCTGCACCGCGCAGCTCATCCACAGCCCTTCCCAGATGGTCTGCGCCACCACGATGTTCCCGCCGATGTAGGCCGACACCTGCCACATGGGCAACCCGCAGGCCACGATCACCCCCACCCAGCCCAGGATGCCCAGTCCCAGCCCCAAAATTTCCACCGCCGCCGAAGTCATGCTGCTGCCACCGCTGTCCCACGGGCTCCGCAGGAAGGAAGGCGCGGCGGGTCTGCTCCGCTGCCCCGGGCGGCTGCTGAGCCGGCTCTGAGCGCCGTGGCCGCGGGCAGGGCTATTTGAGGAGCCGCTGGGCGCCCGCCCTCCTCCCCCGGCCCGCCCGGCCCGGCCCTGCCGGGCAGCAGCACCGCCCGCCGCGGGCCGGGGCCGGGGGCGGGTGTCCGGCCCTCCCTCCCGCTCGGGGGTCCCCACTGGAGCCGGGAAACTTCGCTCTGCTCTCCCCGGCACCCTGCTCCGGGAGGAGCTCGCAGGGACGCTGCCCGTTCCCAGTTAGGCATGGGGCGGGAGGCATCTCGTCTCGGATTTCGGCTGCTTAAATTCCTTTTAGTGCCGTTATCTGTGAATTTCCTATTTACTGATAAAGTCCGCAGCCAGACCTTCAGAGAGGTCTTGCCAATACAGGCACCCAGCAGTGTGAAAGTCCTGGTTATCGGAGTCTAATTGATCATTTTTCGGAAGACTAAGCACTGATGGACAGGCACAGCTCTCTCCTGCACACTGTGTCAGGCAAATGTAAAAAAACCAGCATCAAACGCTTAGGAACCACCCAAAAACTAGAAGAGCCTTGGATACGGGATCTGCGTGTCACCTGTCAGTACCAGTAGACAGATTTTTGGATAGGTCCACGAAAAATAACTGCTCTTAGCTTACACCAAGCATGAAACTGTTTGCTCTGATTCTGGAGCCAAGAGCAAGGTATACAATTTAAACATGTTTTCACAAAGATTTCAAACTTAACTTTATTGTTTTAATTGTTCCAGAACATTTTACTCTTTATGGTAGGTTAAGGAGTTAAATGCCTATGTCAAAACCGCTGTATTTGCAAGAGGTTTTATCATCAGGCCAGGCAAATGTAATTGCTACAGTCTCTTCATGGACCACTGGTGTCCTGGATTGTTATTGAAAGTAGCCTTGTTTCAGCCCCTGCAGCCAGCAGCAGGTCTCAGCCCCCCAAGGCTGGCAGATGCAGGGAGTGTTTGTGGTGTGAATGCTGCAGTTACAGCAGCTGGAGAAAGAGGACAGAACTCATCAGCTGCCTCACAGAACTCACAAGGAGCTGTGCCCCAGTGGCTTTGCACTGGGCGTCTTGAGAAAGGCTTTTTGATTCCAATAGGTTTAAATGTTTTAGACTAAATTGAAAGTTATATTCACAGTGATTTTTGAATTGGTTTGACTAGATTTACTCTCAGTTAGCCAAAGTGTCCTTCCAGTGCAGAGGAGACCACAGAGCTGAAAAGAACACATTTCCTGCCCCTGGATAAGAGGTTTTCTCTGTTGTACAAAAATGCACAGCACATCTTGTGGCATGCAGATGTTTGTGATCCAAATCTCAAGACTGATATGAATGCAGCATGAATGGAAAAGTGCACATGTGAGGAAGAAGCAGCAGAAGAAAGACTAAGCAAAGGTTAAAGGAATCACATGGATTGACAGCTGAGGATGTGACTGCTGAAGTAAGAAGCAGCAATGTCCTGTGCACATCCTGACAGGTGACTTCAGCAGAGGACCCCAGTGCAGTAACAGGAGGATGACAACAAGGTCACAGCACACTGAATAAGGCCTTTCACTTCCTTTTTTTAATAACCAGAAGATGAACTTTAGCCACAAGACACCCAAAAAAAGAAATATGAGAATATCAGGAGCTTGTGGACCATCATGGAGTTGGACATGCTGACACATGATGGCTGCAGCCTTTTGATTATCTCTGCCTGAGGAGCTGTAAACAATTCTAGCATGGAAAATGTCTTCCTAACAAAGACTGCCTGGTAAACAGAGCTCAGAGGATTTATCTCCTCTTCCAGTTGTATATAAAATACATACAGTTTACTTCAATCATTCAAAACTGCAAATTCCAGTGTGCAAGTCCAGGAGGAATGTGTGACTGGGGCTGTGCAGTTTGTCAAACTAGGGCTGCTTACAATCACTCAGAAGAGTCCCTGGTGTCAGGGGGAGGAGAATGTGCAAAAAACCCATCCACAGAGACAGAGATATCTCAGAGGTGAACAGGAAGAAACTCAGATCACAGGCTGAAACTGAATAACATCTGTATTTATGATGATAATAATGATTATATAGAAAACAGCACAGAAGAACAATTAAGAAAGGGGGGAGAGATGCCAGTTATCTTAGCCCATAAGCACAGGAAAGCCCCACCCTTGCCACTTGCCCGGGAGCACGGAACTCTGAGTTTCCTTTGATACATGGCCTGTGTGTGCTCCTGTGCTGGCTGGGAGGCACTCATGGGGCCAGAGCAGCTGCCTGGGTCTTTGGGCTGAGAAGGGAAACCAGCCCATGGCTTGTTTTACCTCTGCAAGCCTCACCCCACCTTCCTTTGCTACCTGTAACCCAGCAACAGAATCCTACAAATCACTTAATCCAAGGCAATTATTTCTCTGGGGAAATACATGCTTCATAATCACAGGGCAACAGAACCTTTCTGCTTCGAGGCATTTCCATTCCTGGTATTTCACTTTTCTCTGTTTCTTTTCATTACCCCAGATATTAGCTTTTATCCTGGTTACTAGCAACAACCTCCATTTTTAATTACTTTATTCCTTGATCCTAAAAGTTTGTTGCACAGGCTACCTCTAATGAGATTACTGGTGCAAGGTGCTCACAGGCTTGCTTACTTGACTTACTGCTACCTTGACTGACACAGCTGCTGGGGGGCCTGAGGACACCATCAATTCAGCATGTTGTGGTTTCTGATGGTGGTAATGTCAAAACACTGGAAATTAAACTCCCAGAAATGAAAAGGTTCTACTTTCTTAAAAGGAAATACAAATCAGCGTGATGTTTTATTTGGGGTGTTAAGTAAAGAAAATCCCTCCTTGTAAGTTAAACCCTTGCTGGAAAAGTCTGGATTCCTTTAAACTCAAAGGCACGATGCTCTTACAGCAAAGTAGTTCTTTAACAAATGACCATTCCTGTCATTACATCTATTTCTGCTTCAGCTATGTATGAATTAAATGATTCTAAGGGGATACATAGGGGGGCTTTACAGCCTGTGAAAATGGGAGGAAGTGGTATTCAAGCTGAGAACAATTGCACAGGAGCCATACTATGGCAAGAGGGGCTCTGGGATTAGAGGTGATTGTGTTTTTGCTCCTTTCCTGACAATCAGGACAAACACCAGGCACAGAGTTATGGGAGGGCTGCTGATGGGGGTCCAGGCTCTCACCAGCACTGCTTGTCCTGGTGCATGAGCCCTGTCCATGGCACAGACCTGCTGTGCCCAGCCCTCCAGCCTTGCCAGGGCTCTGCTCAGCCCCAAGGCCTCCCACCAGCAATGTTTGGATAGATTTGCCTTTGGGGACCTGAAATGTAGTGTGCAGAGCACACTTGGTTTATAATTTGTGGAGTATCCCTTACCTAAGTGCTTCTGCTCTTTCTAATCCCTAAAATATTAAGTATCTGGAAGACAGAGGGGAAAATGACATTTGGGATCAATCTTATGCACAAACCTTGTATTGTTCATGTGAATAAGATGGAGTATGAGTCAAAAGATTAATTAAAAGCTCAATGATCTTGAGACAGCTTACCATAACTTTTGGATCAGACATAAGCAAAGGTGAAGAATTAGGAATCCTATTAGAGATAGATTTTGTGCCATATTTTGTATTCTAATTAGTACTGAAATAAAGGCAGGGAGATTTACAAACACAAAGGGGTTAGGCAAAGGTTGTTCTTTATTTAGAAAGCCTGAGGTTTCTCAGAGAAGATTATTTCTTTATGAATTTTCCTTTAAAATGCAATTCTTTTCCCAACAGAAGTGATTCCATACTGGGATAGGATTCCAGGAAGTTCTTGTGTATCAGCAGTGCCAATGTGTCTTTAGTGTGGCACATCAGAAGACTGGCACATAGGAAATGAGTTCTTATCAAATGAGCAAGTTATTACAAAATGAAAGAGCTCAATTTCACCACTGGATTTGTTTAATTTCTTCTGGAAACAAGCTGAAGTGGTTAACACAAAATTCTCACTTCTTCTCTTAGATCCTCTTTTGAGCAAAAAGAGAGCCAAACCAGAATTTTGCAAGAAGTAGTGTCTCAGTAACTGGTGCTAATGATGTGGAATCTGACACTTTTTTTAGTTCAAGTGTTGCTGCTGCCCCTCAGGATTGAGAAATGGACTGTTCCCTCTCAGTGGCGATGTGACTAGAGTCAGGTAAAAGAAAGGAAGGAAATGGATATATGTAGCTGGAAAAACACTGAAAGAAGTTATAAATGTGCTTCCAGCCTTCATATATTTACTGCTGCAGATCCCTTCCCAGACACTGTGGCCCTAGCCCTGTCTCAGTCTCTACTCTTTACACACACACACTCTGCCCAAATGCAGCCAGGACTGCACATGGTGGGAATGCTGAGACAGTGTTGTTACAGGTACTTTCCTCACTGAATGAGGAAAACAATAGTGGTAAACCATCACTAGAACTAAATTCAACATCCTCCCTCTTGAATTTCTTTGCACATAAACTTCTGGAGCAGCATTTGAATCTCCCCGGTGTTGGAATTGATCTTCATGTCTCTCTGTTAAAGCATGCCCTGCAGAGAACATTTCCAGTCACCACAGTCAGGACCAGCTGGCCTGCACTGATGAGCTGCTGTGCACACAACCCTTCAGCACCTTGTTTTTCTGGATTTAGCTTTGCAGAGAACACTATGCTGTCACTAGACAGCCATAACCCCGTGTTAATGGTGTTCCAGGGCAGTAAATATGGGCAATGAAGAGCCTTTCCCAAAGTTTAGAATGTCAGTAGATGAGTTTGATCATCCCACTCATCAGAAGATCACACTGAATATGTGCTTAGGCCATGTCACTTCAAATAGCTCTCTTTAATGCTATGGACAGATCTTGAGAACATAACATATTAAAGCTTGGATAGGCAGGATGGGGGGAAGCTATAGGAAATACACATTGTTTCATGCCTAATGGTCCATTCTACATCATGTTTCCTTCAGGACAACTATAGTTTAATTTTGTCCTCTTCCAGAGTCAGCCTCCTTCCACAGATTGTGGTGCACCAGGATCCTGGTAGATCTCTTTCCCGTGAAATTCTTGGGAAATCAGATGAGATGTCAGTTTGTAAAGAGCAGCGTCAGCCAGGACAAATGCCATTGTTTTAAATATATATTGCAGATGTTGAAAGTAATTAGTAAACACATGACCACAAATTACTGAAAACTATTCAGGATTAGTAATGGGAAATATACTACATTTATCTCATGTCTCAAGAAATGTGCATTCTTGAGAAGATGTGGGAAGTTTGGGACCTCTTCTCAGCAGTGCAGCCCCTGCACATCTCAGCCAAGCTCTGCTTTCAGGAATAACACACATCTGCTTGGTCAGTCCTGACTTCCTTCTTAAAAGGGAACTTTGTTCCAGTAAGAGGAAAGGATGACTGATATTGGTAGAAAGATGCAAAATGTCTCTTATACTGGAGAATATTTGTAGGCTTTTCTTATTGCTTCTTCATTGCCATAAGTAGTATCTTGAAATGGAGGGCTCTTATATGCTGGTAAATGCAAAAGAAACACTTCTGTTCCTCTGGGGCTACTACAAATCAAATATAATCTTCATTTCCTGTAGAGTGTCACTGAAAATGAGGCTTGGGTGTTTTTACAGCAAGGGAGAATTCTTATCTGTTGCAGATTTTCTTGTAAAGCAGCTTGTGTCTGTAAATCCCGGTGCATGCACAGATATTGGCTTCCTGTTCCTACCCTGCCTAGGCTCCAGCTCTGAGCTGTAGGTCTCAGAAGGGCTCATCAGTGACACCAGCTTTCCATGGACGTGACATCTCTGATTCCTGATGCAGCATGTCTGCAAAAATGAGGAAATTTGAGATGTTGGAGTGGTTCATCCTATTGGTGACTCCATAGATAAAGCCTTACACAAAAGAGTATTTTGATCAAATCAATGGGAACTTCACCCTTACATTTCTGTCTTTCAGCACACCCAAATCTTACAAATAAACCCAGGGAATATCTAAATTACTTCATCTGACATTCCCACTAGCTACATTCAAAGTATTTTTTTTATCTCCTAATTCTTTAAAAGAGGATGTCACCCACAGTGTGCAGCAGATTTATTTCTAAAAGGTTTGGATCTGGAGCCATGTACTGTAACTTGGCAAAGCATATGCAAATACTTTGAATCAAACACAAACTGAAATCTTATGGAAATGAAAAGGATTTATGTATATGATTAAGTTGTTTAACCAGCCTTTGGGCAATTTTATCTCCAGAAAGATTTGTGAGAGTTCAAGGTGCTCAGTGTCTTACAGTAGTGAGTCAGTATGTCCAAATTGCTTTTATAGAGCAGCCATTAATTACAGCAACCACACAGAATTTTAGTCTCAAACCTAAACATTCATCTATGTGAGGAAAAGACTTAACTGAAATAAAATTGAGTTAAAAGGGATCTCACAACTGAAAAATAAAAACTGTTTTATGCAGCATATCTTAAGGAAAGTAATGTCAAGGAATGTGGAGTTGGTTTATCTATTAAACTCAATTTAGGTTTCAGTTTATGGTTGTATTTATTTAATATTTACTAAAGTATTATTTTATTATAATCAGTATCACCATTTTCTCTGGTAAGAACAGGAACAAAAGACACATAATGTCTTTTGCTGAATGTATGAGGTATTTCTGACTTACTAAGATGTGACTCTATACAAAGTTAAGATTTGAATTCAAGGAAGCACTTTTGTCCTTTTGGTAATGTAAACCCTGATGTATCAGGAACTTTAAGCAAAAGCATTGGAACTTCCAAGGGAAAAATGAAACATAGTTCTTTCAAAATTAATAATTCTGGGAATGAGTGATTCATAGTCAGACTGCTGTTCACAGCATGAACATTTCTAAACTATTTAACCACTGTTCCTCAGTACAAGCACTTCTTCTGTTTGCACCTCTGCTACTATTGGTGTGAGAAATAAAAAATATGCAGCATGTGTTTGGGGGGCTGTATTTGCTGTAGGGTCTGCAGTGCAGCATTTCTCAGTCACACACCCCAAACAATTCCAGTTCTGTTGCCTGGCATTCCTGGGAACTGCACTTTCATAATGAGTCTCATAACAGGTTTCAAAGGTAACAAAAGTACATTTTCATCAAGTGACTAATGCACTGTAACACTCATTGTCACAGGATGCTCTTTAATGCCAGAAGTTGGGATGGGTTCAAAAAGCAAGAAGAAAAATTCATGGAAGAGAGAACCATCAAGATAAAACTTCTGGCTCAAGAAGCTGCTGAGCTGAGCTGCAGATTGCAGGAATCTGGGAGGATGCACAGGCACAGTGCTGCTGTTATCTTTTCCTAAGCATCTGCTCCTGGGCACTGCAGAGGCAGGGCACTGCCAGGGCTGACCTCTGCCCTTACCCCAAGTGCCCTTCCTTTACAACACTTTCTGGCTGTGGCTTCCCTGAACGTTTTGTATGACCACTGGTCAGCGATCTGATTCAGCCATGACTTGGGAAAATTATTGCCTCAATATCAAAGGATTTAAAATTTCTGGAGACTCTTTCACCCCTTGCACTAAATCGTGCCAAAGGGAAGCACTAACACCCACCTGTCTCTGTGTTGATGGCAGTCTGTAGTTTGGCATTGTCTGTGCCAATTTCTTATAATTTCTTCAAATACTAAGCAGTTGATTGTGATAGCAGTGCATGTGTGCAAAATCTTGTGTCCATCACAGTGTTCTAATTTAGTGAAAGAAAAACTGCCACTGTTGTTTCTCTGATGATAGCACAAAACACCTATATGGAAATCCATGGAATAATTTAAAATAAAACCTTAATTTCTAAGGAAGACTGAAATGCCATCTTTTAACTCCTCCAGGAAGGAAGTGTGAATCAGAACTTTCAGTTATAACATTACATTTTGTCCTAGGAAATGGAACTTGCTTGTGCTTTCACTGGCTTTTATCTTGTTCTTACTCAGATTCCATCAATGCTCAGTTGATAATATGAGCACAATGTGAGTTGCAGATAATGCCAATCTGCCTTCTGCAGCATTTGTTTCACTCCCACATTCTCCTGTTGTGAGCTGCAACCCTGTTTGCTTAACGGATGGGAATACAGACATAGGAGAAATGTGTTTCTTGGTATTCAGAATTTTTAGTCAAAAGATTTACTTCTAGGTCACACACAGAAGCTGCCCTCTCAAAATGTGTGGATTGATGTCCAGGAACTTTCCTGAACACAGTTCTTGCAGCTGGAAGGTTGGTAAAAGCCTCCCCGGTACTTCTGCTAATCCGTGTTTTAGTTTTGACAGTGTTGCATTTAGACTTTGGGCTATGTAACACTCTCCCCATGAGATCCGTGTCTGTAACCTAACTGTAGGTGTCATTTACACTCCAGGTTTGCCTGCTGGAGTCCCTGACAGCTCCGAGAGCTTGCAGGAGGATCCCACTGGGCGCCTCAGCGGTGACAGCGACCGGGGCTCTCGCAGAACCAGAGGGAAAGCCGTGAGGGAGACAACAGTGTAAGTAAAACAAGTACCGGGATTTTTTGTACAATGTTTGGGAGAGGAATTTGCTTTATGTGTGAATGAGCACCTGCAAACCAACCAGGCTGGGGCTAATGTAATGCTACATACTGCATTACAGTCAAACAGCACAAAGTTTAAGCTCGATTTCCCCCGGCTATCACACCAGCCATGATTACCACTGGGGAGTATCGCTAAACCCGCTGTAAGTGGAGCAATCCCAAAACTCAACGATGTTTGGGTGGAAAACAGAAACCAAACCATTCCGTGTAGATGTGGCACCTCGGAACATGGCTCGGCGGTGGCGGTGGCCCCGGCCCGCGGGCCGCCATGGCCGCTCCCGGGAGGGCGGGCGGGGGCCGCTCTGTCCCTCCTCTCGCTGCTCCCGGAGCCGCCTCTCGCTGCTGGCTCCGGCCGGGCGTGCACCATAAAGTGGCGCGGGGTAGGCGGGCGCTCCGCCGCGGTGGCTGCTGGGATGCGGGAGGGCTGTGGGGCGGAGCGGCGGATCGCGGCCTGGCGGCGGGAGCGGCCGCGGCCTCAGGTGAGCGGCGGGAAGGGGCCCTGGCCCCGGCGGCGGCGCCTCCGTCCCCACAGCGCTGCAGGGGCTCCCCGTGCACGGCACAGCCTCGACCCTGCCTTCCGCCGCCGTTTCGGGGGTTGTGCAGCCGGTGTGTGGGACGGGAGAAGTGTAGCCGGGGCAGGAGCCCCGAGACGCCGCGGTGGGGCCGTTCCGCGCACACCTTGATTTGTTTTTAAAGCAAGGAGGGATTAATTTGAGATGCGGACAGGGCCGTGGGGCTGGGATAGCCGGAGATGCGAGGAGAGGATGGAGCAGGAAGTGCTGTCTCCACTCAGGCATTCCTCGGATGTTTCTAAACTTGCAGCGCCCACCGAGGGATCCCGGGAGCCGGGGGTGCGGCGGGGATGCACAGAGCGACCCGTGCCTGCTTTGGCAACAGACCCCACCCCTGCTGGACTTCTATTTGTCTTTAATTATTGTGCACGTATAGGTCAGAGACTTCATGGTATCTTGAGACTTAAGCATGACTTGGAAATGATTTAAGTACAAATTTACCAGTTTGCTGTGCGTTGGCAGTATGTACACAATTATACTTCAGCTCTGTGGGTATGAGGCAGAGCTGCCTATTTCCTGATGAGTGATCGTGGCTAATATGTTTATCTTTTTAATTTTAAAAAGCCCTTGTTAATCACAGTTTATAGGTCCGTTTAACAGTGCTTTTTGACACAGTAACTCGGCAAAAATACTGTCAAACGCTGCTTGCATAGAAACAACATCATCCCTAAAACTGATCATTCACAAGAACGGTATCACTGCCTGCTTTGTGCATTTCAAGCGGCTGTTTTCATTGATAAAACAGTATGAAAGGAAGTTGTTTAGAGTCATGTGTTAGCGTTGAAATGGAGCTTTAAATAAAATATTTAAGATTAGAGCTTTAGGTTCGTGTCTTGCTTTTTCTTGACCTTTTAAGAACAGTGCTCATACTTGGTTGAACTCCTGTTTAGTCCTTGCTCCTTTTGCTGTGCATATATGTGCTGTTGAGTCAGAGGCATGTTCCAAATTTTGATACATTCCCAGTAGTAATCCCTGTACAGTTTCCTTGGTTTAAACACAATACCAGAAGGAAGTCTGTAGAACTTATGAGCTCTGAACATCAGTTCCAAGCCATAGCATGGTCTGTCTGGAAAAGTCACAGCTGGGTTGTTGCATTTTCGGTAAATTCCATGTTTGGTGGAAGTGATGCAGTCATTTTCCTGAATAAGAGTAAAGCAGAACTGTTATGGTGTAAAAGAGCATTCCTTCAATTGATAATACCTATTTCTAAAGAGAAAAAATGAAACCATCTGGGGTTGTTCATCTGGAGGAGGTTTCCCACAGTGGAGGTGAGGACATGCCAGGAACAAACATGGCACACAGAACAGACTGTGCTGGATGCATTTGTTAGAACTCAGTGATTCACAGAATCATGCCATTTTTTCTATTATTATTGATGTGACTCAGATTTGACATTTCTTCCTTGGGTTTTGTAGTTCTTTTAGTGAAAAACCACAAATAGTGCTTTATTACTGATATATCTTGGTGTTTCTCTCTGCTTTAAATCTGAAAAGTGGCTTCAGAATGCTGATGCTGTTGAGACCATTTCCAGCACTGGGAAACCTCTTTAAGTCTTTACTCCTGTCTGTGGCTATTAAATACTGCCAAGAAGTATCTGAGTTATACAGCCTCTGACAGAAGGAAGAAGCTTCATTTGAGCAATCAGGAGGGCTGTTCTGCTTGTCAAGATGGCTGTGAGGTCACTCAGAAGTGATTATTTGAAAATGTTGTCTGATATCCTTATATGGCCAGGCTCTTTGGACATGTTTGTAGTGCTTTCTTTGTGCTGGCTCCTATTGAGAAGCTCCCAGTCTGCCTGTTCCTCACAGTTTACTTCTTGCATCCTGACAGGAACAAAGGAAATGACCCATTTTCCTTCTCCTCTCTTTCTCTCTCCCTGGAATGCTGCTCTTAGCAGAGGACAGTGGGATGGCACGTTCCAGCTGCAGCTGAACTCAGTGGCACTTTGCTCCTTTGCATTGCCAACATCAAATTGTTCAGGATAGGAGTTTGTTGGAATCCAAAATGAAACTTTGTTGCATTATTCACTGTTCAAAACCAGATTTGGACATTCCTATGCTGTAGCACAGTGTCCCTTTTTTACTGCTAGGCCTGCTAAATAAAGCCCAGCATTATTTACAGATAAAGTTTCACTGCTTTTTTGTAAGTTGTTGCAAATGTATGTTATCTATTCCTTTCTCCTTGAACAGTTTTGTATGTGCTGTTTTGCTTATCTTATACTGATTGAAAGAGTACTTTGAAAGTCTAAAGAAAATGGAGCAGATACGGTTCTTGCTCTGGTTTGCCTCAGTTGTGGGGGTTTTTATGCATTTTGTTCTGGACAATTGATATGAAATTAGATGCTACAATTTTCAGGTGTGTGAACTCCCCAGAGTGTTGTCAGAGACTCAGCTTCACCTTGTTTTGGTGTTTGAGTCAGCTGTGTGCAGACAGAGCTGTGAGTTTCTGTGCTCACTGATGCACAGCAGGGACTGGTGCAGTGCCAAGCTCTCACTGGTGAGCAGTGCTGGGAGTGCTGTGCTTGTTTGGTGCTGAAAGAGGATTTAACATGTGGCACTTTGTTCATTCTGAGGTTTTGATTTGTACTGTATGGTAGAGCTTTGGGAAGGCAGCACATGGTCACCAGGGAAGTTTGGTGGAATGATTTTCGAGGAATCCTCATGAGGGCAGTATTAGGAATTGCAAAATGTCAAGGCTGAGCAATTGAGCTCCCAAATGAACCCTGGCACCTTAACTGCTGTGGAACAGCAGGTGTTTCTGTGGGGTTTTTTGTTGTTGTTGAGGTAACTTTTGGCTAGCACATTTCTATTCTAACAAAAGACATTGGGAAATCACTAACTGGAAGTGTGAGCTGCAGTCATGATCAGAGCAGCTGGGCTGCTGCTTTGCCTACAGCAATTTTCAGTCAGAGTAAGACACAAGGTGATGTGGTTTGCCTTGTAGGAAACAGGTTTTGTAAGCTGTACTTGTGGAACAGATGATTTTATGAAAAAATGTTCTTTATGAGATAACAGACCCACTTTGAGGCTGTGTGTGTCATAATCAGTTGATGGCAATTTTGACTCTTCTGCTTTTTAATCAAGTGACTTGAGTAATGCTGCAATAGATGTGACTCCACTGTCAGCTTAAAGTAGAGGTAGGGAATTTGCCATACATCTTGAAACCTGAATCATCCCCCTGTCTCTCCTTTATCTATGGGCAGTGGGCCTGGGTGATTCTCCTCTGTCATTACTGTGAGAAATGGGTCAGGTATCTCTACATTGGCACTCAGTAACTATGAGCTTTTCTAAACTCTTGAACTATGTTACTAATTTTATTGACAAGGTGACAACAGAGGTTTCCAAACTTAGAAACAAGATGTCAACAGAGTTACTTCTGTCAGTGGGATTGTGAGTGTTTTTAAGGATCTGTGACAATGGTTGGCTGGAGGCTGGAATGAGCCTTTGCATACTGGTCAAAGGAAAAGAAGTTCTGGTTTTCAAAACCATTCTTAAGGGATGCTTTCCAGAATGTTTTGAGGAATACACAATTAGAGGCTGACAGATGATTAGAATGAGGACCTCCCTATTTTCCAGCAATGGGTACATTGGGCTTTCATTAGTAAAAGCAAATGAGCTGGGTATGGGGGAAACGTGAGGAGGAAAAAAAAAACCAACTTTCCTTGCTTATAGGGTAGCTGGTACCTGCACAGCTGCCAGGATTTTAAATGCCTGCTGCAGGGCAAATGAAATACCATGGGAACTGAAGATCTGTTTTCTTTAGAACTCCAAGCAGCAATTATGCTAACTTTGACTTTTCCTTCAGTCCAGAGCTTGGACTCTGCCAGAATTTGACTGTCAAACTGCCAGTGTCAGAAACTGGACTGTATCCTGCTAAAATGACTCCTGCTACCCAACAGGAAGGTCTGAACACACAGGTGCCTGCATAGGTCACTTCCCTACTTTTCCAGGCCAAGAGCTGCATTGTCAACAAACCAAGCTGTGAAGTGCTTCTGCCGTGTCTGCGTTTCCTGTCCCTGCTCTGGGGCTGCTCTAAATGAAAGGGCTTTGCTCTTGCCCTGGTAACTAATCTATAGCACAGCTAACATCCTTGAGTAAAGAGATAAGGCCTTGCCAAAGTCCAGCTGTTCTGGGTGTCTGAAACTGAAGAACAAATCTCTTTTGATAGTCCTTCACCCTGGCAGGAATTTTTTGCGTCCAGCATGGGTTGGCCAAGTGTAGTGTCCTGTTCAGCAACAGCACTTTGAAGTCACTGAAAATAATGTTATGTTCTGACCCTTACCTGGGAATCATGTAGGTGTCCTGTTCTCATGAGAATTTTTGGGTGTGGTAATCATTCTCAAATGTAATGTCTGGACAACATTTGCATTGCATTCACCTATCTGTGAACCATCCTTCTACAAGGACAGGATGGGTGAAAATTTGTTATGATACTAAATTTTAATATTTTGCATTTTAAAGGAATTTTTCTGTTTTGAAATTTTAAAGTATTTAAATTAAGTATTCCTGTGATTTATTTCAGAGGGAAGACATTTTGATTATGGCTTGTTTGTTCTGGTAATCCTTGAGTATGTGACATTTCATTCTACTAGAATAGAATGTGATCAGTTCAAAATTAAAAATAATGTAATCTTCAAGTCAGCTAACATGCACTATGGCTTTTTTTCTTCCAG